CAAAGATGGCAGCTGCAGCTTCCCTACCCTAAATGAAGTCACAGCCTCCATCTTTGCAAAGGGCAGTCAGTTTCCCTTTCTACAGGCCATGACTGTGCAAGCCTTATGCAGACCTCAGCAGCAGTGGCAATGATTATGGTAAGGGGGTGTTGGCAGGGGTGGGAGGGCTAAGGTAGGGAGAAGAAGTGGGTAGGCTGGGTGGGTGGGTGGCAGCAGGGGTGGTGGTTGCCTATCAGCCTGCCGATCAGCTGAATGGCGGACCAGTAGGCAGAATGGAAAAGCCACAGGATGTCTTCCCCCCCCTTCATATGGAGGATGAATAAAAATGGGAAAATATTCATCCCTTCTTATTCATGGGGGTCTCTGGAACCCACGAATATCAAGGTACGAATATTTAATGAATCAGCTATTTTAGATGAATATTGTCTTCTGTTTTTTAATTCGTCCCCATATCTAGCTAGGGTCTATCTGAGCAGCTGCCTTCTTACCAGTCTTAGTGGAGGCTGAGTCAGCCTGGAGAGCCCCCAAAAGAAAATGTTTCTTCAGTAGAGTTTTACAGACTAAAATTATAGGAACCAAAATCTCCTAGCAATGGTACTGACACTCAGCAGGGAGTTTTCCTACAGGTTAAAATTTCAGGAATGATTGGCGGTTTCTGATGCCTACCTTCGTACCTCTTTTTAGAGAATTGAAAGTTTTGTGGTTGATGCCCCTCTACGAGGCAATAGAAACAGTCTGAATGTCCATCGTGAGGGAAAATTTATTATTGCAGCTAATGCATCTTTTGAACTGGCTCATTGGGGCCATAAAAGACAAGAATGGCTGATAACTGGTGTGACAACAACTAAGTAACAAGTAATAAACATTTTTTTAAAAAAAATAGGAACAATGAAAAGAAGAGAAGGCAGTGAGAGGGAGTTTTTTAAAAACCCTATATACAGATGGTTTGGAGGGGAAAAAACTTGTGGCCGTAGGCTCTAAGAATAATTCCTGAAGTGTTCTCTCAGTGGTGGCAAAAAATGGAACTGAGGTCTGCCCTCACAGTGGAGTGTGTGTATCATAAACATGGTTTGTACTAACACTTCTTTAAGCTCTAGAACAGGGATCTCCAAACTGTGGCCTGCGGGCCACATGCGGCCCGCCCTTGCCTTCTAATCCAGCCCAGCAAATGTCACAGGCTGAGGTGTGCAAGCTTAGGTCCATTCCGTTCAGCCCATACGTGCATGCGTGTGGGTGTTGCGGGCATGCAGGCGAGTTTCCTTCAGCCCTCAAAAATGTGGAAAATATATGATGCTAAAAAGTTTGTAGACCCCTGCTCTAGAAGATTCTGAGGATGTTTGCATAGGCGCAAAATGAACCTCATATATGTGATCACAGGGACCACAAAGAAGAACCTATTGTTCTTTTAAGCAAAACGGTCTTATTTTTAAACACTGTTATACATCAGGAGGCCTTTCAGCAAGTGCAGCTTTTACCACAATACTGCTGTGGAGATGGGAAAAATCATGCCTGGAAGGGATCTCCTTTCAATGCAATTCTAAAGATTTAATAACAGCCTCATCTTTCAACTGGGAGACTGTTATGTTAGGTAACTAGCCTTCCAGCTCCCAAAATTTTCTTACCCTAACAAAAATACTGTCCCCATGGCCTTTTGTGAGGTTTATCCCCAAATCCCTCTTTCACGCCTCTATAACTCACCTTTGCCCTAGGTACCTGATTTTAAACCGACTGCCAGCTCTGTGCCATCTCCTTCAATCATCACAAGCATAAAAGAGAATAACACTTATCTAGCCCTTCTCGCTTTCTCCCCAAAGTAATCTGTTTTAGGCTACGACCTGTATAAACTTTTCCTCAGTCCTTTTATAAAACGTGTCTTTTCTACTCATTTTTCTTTCTTGAGTTCTCTGTGCCCACCACTTACCTAACACTCAAGATTTTGCTTGCTATCTCTCTTCAGCTATCCTAGCAATAAGACACCAGTTCTTTAAGTTCTTCTTGCCCATACTACTGAAGTCGAATTTCAAGCCCACAGCCTGTTGACACATCTATTTCCAATGTCATTAAGTTTGTGTGAAAAACATTTGTTGTAGCAAAAAATGAAATTTTCCCCTTTCTTCACAAAACATGAAGAATAATGTTTCTTCTTCATGCTTTGTCCAGTTAACTATGCTCATTGAGAAATTAGAATATTTTGTAATACCACAGGAAAACACTGTTAATCCCTTTGTATATTTACAAGGTAGATTGGGAACCAGGTCCCACCTGTAACTTCAATGGTATATTTAAAGATCTTGAAAAAGCCACATTTATACTACAGGTCCAAAAGTACCACAGCCATCATGACCAATAAACATGCTAGCTCAGAAATTCTGAGAATCTGGATACAAGCAAGTAATTTTGCTATATTTGTTACTTAGTCTCACAAAAATGTATAAACTCAATCACTGTTTCCTATCATTTTACAGATGAAAATGTGAAGCTGAATAACTGAAATCAGTGCAAGACCATCTATTATATCTATGTCCAAAGTTGAAGCCTGTTGATCAATTGCAAGGATTTTATGATTTTGTTAATAATGCTTGTATAGCTAGACTCTGTTAAAAAGGTACAGGTAAAGGCTCCCCTTGACATTTTTAGTCCAGTCGTGTCTGACTCTAGGGGGCGGTGCTCATCCCATTTTCAAGCCGTAGAGCTAGCGCTTGTCCGAAGACCGTTTCCGTTGTCCTCAAATACAATGGTGCCCTGCTTGACGATTACCTTGTTAGATGAGGAAATCGCTTAACGATAAAGTTTTTGTGAACGCTTTTGCGATTGCAAAACAATGTTTTAACAGGGAAAGATTGCTTTACGATGATTGGTTCCCTGCTTCGGGAACCGATTTTTCGCTTAACAACTATCAAAACAGCTGATCGTCACGTCTTCAAAATAGCCACCCGCTGTGCAAAATGGCTCCCCGCTGTATTTTAGGACGGATTCCTCGCATTGCAGGCACCGGAAAATGGCCACGCTCTCGAGGATCCTCGCTGGACGCTGAGGTATTTCGCCCATTGGAATGCATTGAACCGGTTTTCAATGCATTTCAATGGGATTTTTACTTTCGCCTGACGACGATTTCGTTCTACAGCGATTTTGCTGGAACGGATTATCCTTGTCAAGCGAGGCACCACTGTATGAGAAAAAGTCTGAGAAATATCTGAGGAAGTGGACTTGTCCACAAAAGCTCACATTAAAATATAGCAGTTAATCTTTAAGGTGCGACAATGTTTTTGTCCTCTTCATTTTTTTCTTTTCTTTTTGCAAAAAATGAAGTTATGTATTGGGATTTGGGGAAGGTAGGTAGCAGATGCTTTTATCATAAAAACTACCATGACTCCACCAACTACTTCACAAAAAAGTGAAAAAGCATGCAACCTGTCTGGCACCCTCATTTTACAGAATTCATGAATTGACACTTTCCAGCCACCATCATACACATGAGGCACGGATTCGTCTTTCTCCTGAGCACTGTCAACTGTATACTAGCTCCTGCAACATAAAATAAGATAATTTTACAGCTACCAACGAGACACAGTACTGCAGAGTGACAGTTTGTCACAAGGCAGTAAGGACTGTGGCAGTATGGTGTTGAGCACAAATGTCATTTTTTAAACTGTTATGTCTTGGCAAGCATCAGCTTAAAATGTGTCACACTGTCCCAGAATTTTACTCTCTGTAGTACACTAAAGTCAGGCTAGTCTTGCCATTATTTAGCAAATTTGCAACCTGTTGCAAGAAAGAAACAGAAATGACTGCACTGCAATGACTCCATATCAATTAGAAATTATTTCCACATGCCACTATAAATATAAGTAAAGATTTGCTTATAAGACAGAGGAAGGAATGATTCCATGCATGGTCCTAAAAAGGATATAGATTTTGTACTAGCCAATCAGAATCTTCCTTTTTAATGTTATTATATCACCAAGAAAGACCCACTATTCCATTGTTCATTTCCCTGTCTGGGAACTACTTTTCCTTAACCTACTGAAATACTCATTAGCCCACAAGAATTCTTCATTTCTTGAAAATCTTTTTCTGATTTTTGGGTGAGTGGAAGAGATCATGATATATTCACAGACACAAGCAGTCATTGCATTCTACTTCTTTTAGGGTGAGACTACAGATCAAATTACCTAGGATTTGCTCTGCTTACAAAATTGGTGAATTCAAAGTGCTTTTTACTGACCACATGATGCAAAAGCTGGTTTTGCTCTCCAAACAGCTTCCCCCTCCCTTGCTGCTGTGGGGCTTATACTTTTGCAGGTTGGAATGATTCAAACAGGCTTTCTCCCATGTGGTTAGTTGTGACACATTCTTGTAAAAACAGGCGCATGTCCGTAGGTGACTGACATTGACAGCTATGGTGTGATGTTCAGGGCCAGGGTGGAGGGATATGGAAAAGCAAAACACAGTGATTTGAATGTGTGGGATTGGGTGCTAGTCCTCAATCCTGTCAAACACAATAAGCTTATCATGTGGGAAGGCCTTTTTGTTATGAAGCAAAAGCTTAGTGCTGTTAATTACTTAACTGGCAGGTCTGAAAATGGACTCAAAATGTTTATCATGCCAATAGTACAAAACCGTATGCGACTAGGAATTAAGTAATTTCTGACTTGAAAGTAAGGGAAAAGAGAAACAAATGGTAAGGAGAAGGTGGTTATCTCTGTTATGGAATCATTCTGATGTATGAATTATTATGTACTTTGCAAAATAACATTCAAATTTATGATGATCTGTATTCTTAGACTATTAAGTACCTTTCCATGTTTGGAAAATGTAGTATTTAGAAGCTTTAAATGAGAAAGCAGCTTCATAGTGGGCCATAAAAAGATCAGCAGAAGTGAGAGCAGAGGGAAGA